CCAACAAATCACACACGACAATTGTAAACTGTCATACATGACTACAACATTAAAGGCATTCAGAAGGTGATTGGTAGATAGATACATATTAGATTTTTTGTATGGTAGAAGAAGAGGAGAATGGCCACCCAAATAGCTATATAACTAAAATTTCATTTATGAAACCAAAGACTGAAGCTGGCATGCAATTACACTCTGTGGCTTTTCCACCAGTTAGCGGTATTTCGTGACCTGGGACTGGATTTCGGTTAGCTATCTGTTGGTAGGAATATAATAATTTCGAGATAGTTCGATGTTTCTGCATCACCTTAACTATTTTATTCATCCAAAAGAGAAACTAGTTTTTTAAGTATGTTCATACTGTGTTGTGTGTCTGTCTGTTGTGTAGAACTTATCAAATATGTATGTCGGTATTAAATAGAAATTTCAAACATTAATACATGTCGTGTTAAAATGTTTGAACGTCATTATAATAAGTTTGAAGTCACACAGGACAGTTAGCTAATTCTGGAATATTGCCCATTGCTATACAGCTTGCCCAGAGGATGTTAGGTAAGTACACATTACGAGTAGATATTCATTCGCGCGTTGACATGCGCGGGCGCAAATCTTTATTTACATACTGCAGTGAACGTAAGACAAACGCGTATGTACCTCCTTAGTTACATTCTAAAATTTGAATATATTGGTGCCTTGACCGGTATATTTTGATCAGCTAGTATTAGGTTAGTCTTTTCAAAGTTTGACTAATTAGGTACCCATCTGTTATACCTTTTTTACATTTCTAAGTGCATTCTATTTAAATTGTACAGGTAGCCCTTCCATTACCTTTATTGATCGATCGTATAACTTTGCTATATTATGCGTTACCCATGTCTTTAAAAAAGTTATTGTCGAATTATACTGTTTATACACGGTTTGTTTATTGAAAATGTACTACACACTTTAAAAGGAAATTAAGTTATTGAAAATACATTTTTTTTATTCCTAGTAGGTAATAGGTGTTGTTAAGCTACTCAAATATTGGTAGATGGCATTTAAATAAAACCAATTTTAATAGCTTGAAACGCGAAATATATTAGTTAACTTATTTATAATTTTATTTTATTATTGCCCGAAGTTTAATTGTGCCGGGGGGGGGGGATTCATTCTTCATTTGTTAGCTAATACATTTTGCGTTAACTGTTTAACATATTGCATTTGAATGTGTAGTACTCTCGCGTAAACTGCAGACAATACATAAGTAGATATAAGTTACAAAGATGAGTATGTAATTATTATGATATTTCTTATAAAGCAAGATAAAAGGTTGAAAACTACAGTGTATTTACAATTAACTTGTGTTGTACATAGCCTGTAATTTAATTTACCTTAAGTTTATAAATTAAAAATTTACCTACTTACAAGTTACACTTTAATTAACTTATTAGTGCTATTAGTGACTGTTTGCGAAAAAAATTAATAAATAATATATTTAAAAGTCCTTTTGAAGCTGAGCATTGTGTGATTCACTCGATACTAATATTATTTTTAACAACCTCTCAGCGTCGAATAATCCGAAACCGTCGCGAAATAATAATCATATTTACTCCGAAAGCAAATGAGCGTAGCGTTGAAACGTTTAGTAACGTCTTCCGTTCACTTACTTTAGTAGTTCGTACCAAAGATATCAACGGAATTCATAAAACTCTAAATTTGGGTTCATAAAGATGGGATGTGTACTTAAATTTGGTTTCTATTGCAAGTACATATGTATGTGATAAAGGATCGTTATATAAAAAACAAGATAGTTTTATGTTGTAACCACTACCTTTATATTGATAACACGTTACACGCCAATCTTTAGATTCCAATAATGCTTAATGGAGTAAGCTTTATTCGAGTCAAAAAATTAACTGAATGGTTTAATATTGAGATTGAATCTATACTAGTATGTAAAGCTAGAGTTTGTTTGTTTGTTTGAACGCGCTAATGAACTACGAATAGCGAGGAACGCTATAGGCTATAAAACATCGCGCTGTGACTAATAGAAGCGAAGATACAGCGGGAAATCTGAACAAAACGGGCGAAATTTTTCATCTCTGTGGGTTTCACATGCGTACCAAAAACATTTGTATGAAAGAATGATTTCTCTTTGAATGATCTAAAAACAAGTCCGCGCGATATGTTTATCTTTTAAGATTAACTTGCAAGAGCGACGGGAAGGGACGCGGTCGACGTCGTGGTTAACAGCTTAAGTATATAAAGATGACGGGGTTCGCAAAAACTAATTTGGATGTAAAGTAACGGTTCTCGCGAACGAAGTCGCGGGCACAGCTAGTAGTAAATAAGATTCAGCCACGTTACTGTAATGGTAGCTATGTATGGCTAATAATAAACGGGCCATGGGTTCTAATCAATTTATAATTTTTCTGAAACTCGATGGAAAAACTCCGAGAAAGACCTGGTCGCGAACCATCGTCCAAACATAAAAAAGTCTTGAAGTTTAGTCGCGTTTCGCTTTTATACTGTGGATTAATTAAATTTAAGATTACCGTAAAACGTATTGTTATTTTTAATATGTATATACATACATACTTACCTACTCTACGCGTAGAAATTAGCCGGCGCCCGATCGTTAACAAATATTCAAACCTTAGGTACTTCAGATCGTAAATATAATTTGGTATTGCTTTATGTCATTAGGCATTTGAAATGCCGCATCTGTAATGAATGAGTAAAGACAGGCGTCTGGCGGTATTCTTTTGAGGTCTGACGTCATGCTTCTCCGCGGATTTCAACCCAATGCACATCAAACAGTACCCACTGTTGTAATTTATTTATATAAATATATTAAAACTTTACTGGCTACCGAAATATTCATATTTAAACTGTTTTATTTATTTTATTTCCATTTTATGATTACCATCGAAGCGATCAGATCCATTTTTCGAATAGTGTGTAAGATTAAATGTAAAGCATGTCATTGAGCATAAGCCATATTTTATAATATTGACTTCGTCCTCGTGTTAGTGAATAGTTATTTTGGGCATCATATTAGGTGCTTACTTTTGCAAACAACATCCTCACCTTTTTAAATTATAGCTGATACTACGTCGTCCGCGTCCCGTCGGTTTTGCAAGTTAATCTAAAAGATAGACGTATGTATACGATGACAGACATGTTTTTAGCTCATTTAAAGATTTTACACAAAAAAGTTTTTCAATTCGAACCCGCACTTTCGGAGATTAGCGCGTTTAATAAATACTTTTCAAACACTGTCAGAAGTTTACGTGAGTACCTAGTATACACTTTAACGGTTTGAAACGTCGAGCCGTAGTTAAAAATAATTTTCGAACAAGTTTAACTAAATTATATCGCGTTTTAAACAGTTAAAGTGTTTTATTTAAAAATACTCTTCAGTTCTATAATATTAGTATAGATTATTAAGATAGCATTTAGTGTCATTTTAGTCAGACATAAAGACGAGCTGTGGGCTGTTGTCCTTTCTTGGTTTAAACCCATGAATGTAGCTTTCCTTTTTTGCGTCTTAATTTTTTAGTTAAAACTGCGGAACGCCTTATCTCCTTACATTTTTCAGAGTCACTATAATTTTAAGCTTTTCAAGCCAAACATCAGGTTTCTTTTAGACTATGTATTCTTTAGACCCCATCGCCGCTCAGTGTTGATTGATAAAAACACGCATCACACGCATATTTTATATTTATTTTAAATGTATATTAGGTACATATTACATTTCAAGAATAAAGCTATTGTTTAACGAATTTTAATGTGAAACTATCTTCGACAAGACTGCTAGTGCTTGTCTTATTGTATCGACCAACGTAAAATGGATCATAGATAATTTGTAGACAGTTTATATTTTATTGAAAGATATTAAACGATTTACCCAGTACATGGTGTGGATAATGGCGTATTTCTATTTACTCCTGACAGTATGTTTATCTTTAGACGCTTTTACGGTCGCCGATGAATTATTAGCTGTCCGCAGAGTGACAGCTTGTCTCCGGGCTTGAAGCAAATTAAAACTTAAATACGAACAGGATTTCAATTACTTTTTTGCTTTGAGTTTTTAACTTTTTAGGGGCGATTTAGATCTGAATTCCCGTGGGGTATTGGGACTAATGTTATTTCTCATGACTTAGAATTAATGAACGGATTTTGTTGAAAAATTTAAATAAATCAAGTTAACTTTTTTTTAACTTTGCTTAACTTATAGATTTTATATGAACACCCGCATAGCATGTTGCTACCATCTCTACTATGTAACTATCAAAGTTATATTTTTCATTCAATAATTTTTTGCTACTACAAACTTTGTTATAACTTAAATTCACAACGTAATTTTTTCCTTCCATTTCAAAACTGTTGTGTGCGCCAAGCAAGAGTAAAGCAAAATAAGTAAGGAAGGATAAAAATAGATAGTCTTAAGAATCGATTATAAATTGAAAAAGTTGACGACTTGGGATTAATTTTTTTTTCGCAATTTACAATCAAAATTTTATTTATATGGTGTCATCATGTTCAATAACATGTGGAAAATACTTTAATATTTTTCAATAGATAGTCGATACGTCCTTTAAGATGATTAACGTAAGATAAATGATATTTTGTATTAAATTTATATTATTTTTTAGATACTAAGGAAAACAAAACAAGGAATTCAAATGCTTTATTTTATCTATAGTACATATTCGCAGTTGCGTGTGATCTTATTTAATCTGTAGGGAAAAAATTTATAACACAGATTATAGTTTGGATGTTCCCATATACATACTGCTTTATTGATGACATTTTACAAACCTTGGCATTTGGCAGTTAAACATTACTTCCTTTGACGTAGGCCATTGGCGGCGGCGCCACAAAATTATAATTCAACTTTCAAGCATTGTTTACATTTTATTGAATTTGTTAATTGTTATTTCAATAAATTAGCACAATGAATCTAAACAAACGTATACTATATTAGTTCTTAATTAGGTAATTGCTCTACAGAAATCATGGAAAACGGCGAAACATTTTTATCATGTGCGGCGACTGTTGAGTGGATGACTCCCCAGGGTTCGATTATTCGAAAAATTACACTGAAATCGGCATCCCTGCGATTAATTAGAAATGAGTTTCGTGACATGTTTATGGAAGTAAGTGGTGATAAGCACGCTGCAACGAGACTTGCACTAAAAGGTATAAATGTATTCAAAAAGTTCATGGCTGAAGGGAAAGCTAGCATTAAATTTCAAGAAGCCGGTTGTACAGTTTTTATATCTAATGCACCTCCAACGAATCTCGTTTCTTTCTTAAGAACGATTTTTGTGAAAATGACTGGTGATAGAGAGAAATCCTTAAACACAACACCTTCCAAACAGACTGTCCGTGCGAAGCTTTTAAGCGGTAAGGCACAAGCTTTCGAAGAAATAAGCCCCGTGACTGTAGCAGATTTGTGCAATGCAAAAAGTAAGATAAGTAAATCGACTACAACAACTCCTTCCCCACCTTCAAAAAAACGTAAACATGAAGATATTGGCAAAGGACCTGCACCTAAAAAGCTGTATTCCCCATCACCTCTTACTACTACAAGTTTGCTAAATTCTGAACAGCAGAGAGTATTGGAGGCATGCATTAGCGGCAAAAACATATTTTTCACTGGGTCTGCTGGAACCGGAAAGAGTTTTTTATTAAAAAGAATTGTAGCAGCATTACCTCCTGATGTAACAATGCCTACTGCCTCAACAGGAGTAGCTGCTTGCCACATAGGTTAGAGTAATAAATTTATTAATCATAATATTTCCCAAGACAATCCAAATAATGCAATTATATGTTAGTTTTTAATTCAAAATCATTTCAAGTTTAAGATGTAAAAACTTAGTAAATATTTTTTTTCCACTATCATATATTCATTAAAAGTGTTTTGGGTTTGGAATAACATTTGCTAGTGTATAGAAAGTGTTAAGATATAAATACATTTATTAAATCAATGTCAATAATACTAAGCAATAGTTGCAAGTCTGCAGAGATTGGTAATTAGATAAATGTTTTTGAAATTCTATGATTTTATTGAATTTTTTTTAATTTCAGGGGGTACAACTCTTCATGCTTTCGCTGGAATCGGGGATGGCACTGGTTCAATAGAAACTTTATGCAGCAAGGCCTTGAAATTACCACTAGTTGCTCAGAAATGGAGAAAGTGTAAACATCTTATTATAGATGAAATATCCATGGTTGATGGAGCTTATTTTGAGGTATGCTTTGAAAACTTGATTATAATTTTTTAGAAACAATTCTAAATAATGCTAAGAAGATTGTTTTGGCCATTACAGCAATATTTACTATATATTTTGTTTTATTCCACAGAAACTTGAAACAGTGGCCCGGCATGTACGAAACAATGACAAACCTTTTGGTGGAATACAACTGATTTTGTGCGGTGACTTTTTACAGTTACCTCCTGTTGTAGACAAAAGTAAAACAGGGAAACGATTTTGTTTTCAGACTGCATGCTGGGAAAAGTGTATTGATTTATGTTTTGAATTAAAAGAAGTGCATCGGCAAACAGATAAAGAATTTGTATCTATACTAAATAGTATAAGAATAGGTAGAGTAACAAAGGAAATAAGTGAGCGCCTTGTAAGAACAGCTACACATAAAATTGAAAGCGACGGAATTCTCGCAACCCGCTTATGTTCTCACACTAATGATTCAAAAATGATAAATAACTCCAAGTTGCGAGATTTGAAGGGAGAAGAAAAGGTATATTCAGCACAAGATAGTGACAATGCCACTACTTTGCTAGATATACAAACTATAGCACCCAATAAATTAGTTTTAAAAATAGGTGCACAAGTCATGTTGTTGAAAAATATTAATGTCAATTCTGGCTTGGTTAACGGTGCCAGAGGGGTAGTTGTAAGGTTTGATGAAGGATTACCAGTTGTACGATTTAAAAATAAAAAGGAATATACAGCTAGAACGGAACGATGGTATGTTAAAAACTCTAATGGCTCTCTCTTATGTAGAAGGCAAGTGCCATTGAACTTGGCTTGGGCATTTTCCATCCATAAGTCACAAGGCCTTACCCTAGATTGTGTTGAAATGTCTCTATCGAAGATCTTTGAAGCTGGACAGGCATATGTTGCATTAAGTCGAGCGCAGAGTTTAGAAACCTTGAGAGTGTTGGATTTTGACTCACGGCATGTCTGGGCGAATCCTGACGTCTTAGAATTCTATCAAAAGTTTAGACGAAGGCTACAACAGATGGAGTTAATACCACTTGGAAGACCATTAGCAGATAAAAGTAACAAAAAGGGAAAGCTAAGAGAAATCTTAGAAAAACAATTACGGAAGAAATAAAGACTGATTTTAAAATTCCAAGTATCATGTTAATCTGAATCTATTTATTTTGTCATTAGTTTGTAGTTAGTAAATTTTTACTTAGGACAATAAAATAATTTTTTCAATAGATTTTCTTTTATTTTAAGTATATGCTTTTGTGTACATGATTTTTAGTCAATTCAATTTATCTGGCTTCAACTGCTGTTAAGATTTCGATTTGTTCTTCAAGTGTTGTAAGCTTTTCTTGCAAGCATTTTATGATGTATTTGTTTGTATCAGTTTCATCTATTTCTTTCTTGTTTGTCTTATTTTCTACTGCATTTTGTAGCAAGTCTATTTGTTTCCTTTGTTGATCTATCAGACGTTGAGATCTAGTACTTAAATGTTCCTGTTTTTTTACAATTAACCATAATTGAGCTTCATTTGACACTTCACCTCGAAATTTCAGATCTTCAGTCACCATATTATCAAGGTTACGTGGCTCTCGCATTTTGCTTATTGAGTTTTTAATGTCCAATATCAATTCTGATTGTGATTTTTTGCTTAGTAACCTATCTATTCTATTCTTAGGGCCATAGGTCTGAAATATAAAAAATATTCTATATTCTACACCTATAAATAAAAAATAAAAAAATTTAGTTATATACACTTACTCTAATTTGCGGGTCGTTGCGTTTCGTTATTTGTGGGTGTTTCATGCTTGATGGGAATATTGTAGGGACAGCGTCTGTTTTCAGTTTTCTATTACCATCGAAACACTCATTATCAAAGTGTTTTGAACAGATTTTACTTTTATTCCAGTCTAGTATAAGACACTTGTGCCTTAGGGCCCGTAACCATTTGTTACGCATTTCAGTAGACGTTGGACACCTTTAAGTTAAAGTTAAAATTGTTAATCTATTAGTACCGTAAGTTTATTTAAAAATTATGTGCTACTTACCCATGGAATAAAACACCGGGAGGTTTTTTCATCATATTGCAATATTGAACAGCACATTGCGTAGAAGACATGCTACGTGTACAAACAAAACACGTAAGTTGTACTTATTAACTTTGTAATAATTTCTCCAACTGTGTATTAAGGACAAATTAAGAATTCCTTATTTTGCAAAACAAAACACTAAGTGAACCATAGATTACTATAAAATATATAAAAATATATAATAACCAAAGAATTTACAACACAGAGTGTCTAACTGATGCAAAATCGAAACAGGCTATAAACTGTGAACCACAGGTTATAATAATGTTATTTGTTCACCGTTCACCTAGTACCTTAAATGATCAATATAATTTTTTGTATTGAGTAAACGAATTTTGTTGAATAAAGTCCTTAATATTTACAATATGACACAGTCGATGATAACTTTCCGACATAATCATAGAAAATCGAGAATAGCTGAACTTTCACTAAAAAATCAATCTATGGTTAGGATTATTGTATAGTTACTGGAATAGACAAGCTTGGAACAAACGTTGTAAAGGTGAAACTCAAATAGTAACTAATTTTTAATGAGTGATTAATGTATCCACTAGATGGCACTCATAAGCGTTGAATATATCTACACTACGCTAGTCTCAGGAACTACGGGTTCAAATTATCGAGGCTATAAAACATCGCCCTGTGTCAAATACAAGCGAAGATACAGCGATAAATGTGAAAAAAATATTCACCTTATCGGTTTCCGAGGGGTACGCTGCTAAAACGGTTTAAGATACCCCAAAAATTAATAATTATTCCCCCTTAAGTAAGTTCACGACGGTATATGCCTATATTTTAAGATTAACTTGCAAGAACGCCGGGAATGGTATAATAATAAATTTGTTATAATCCTATAGCAATAAAGGTAAAATAAATTACATGTTTCGAAAATAATTTAATAACATATGAATAGATATAATATTTTTAAACATCTTAATCTAATCCGTAACACTAATAGCAACGGGGGGTATGAATCTCCAGACATGACTAATCTCTCCAGCACACGGTTGAATAATAGACGAATTTTCTTCCTTAATCGGATCCTCGGATATGGGCTCCGTGGTTGAACACTGGATGTCAATTTTGAACTCACCAGGAGTCAAAAACACGACCGTACACTCATGATATGCTTTGGCTGTTTCCTCTAACGTTGTCAATACGACTCTAAAAAGAAAGTATTTCAGTAAATTAGTAATCCTATTCATATTATTTTCGAAAATATGAACTTAACGCTAGATTTTAAGTGAAATTTCTATATAGAAAGGTAGCCTGTAAGACGTAGACGAAGTAATTACGAGAGGCGATACCGTTTTTTTTACTAACTTTTGTTAAAAAGTAATTTAGTAGTCATTTGTTTGTGCAATTGAGTAACCTTAATAAAGATATAAGTTAAATAGATTTGAGCAATGATTGTAAGCAACTACTACTATTTGAATTGAAAATGTAACTAGCTCTTCCTCTATCAAAATGTAATCTCTGATAATCTCCGTTTGCTTTTCTAATACCGTTATTTGTCGTTTTAAATTCTATCATCAGTCTTTCGGGTTTATAATATTATGATTTCAGTAACATAACATACTTCTTACTTAAAAAATGTCTATAGTTTAGACGAGTAGTACACATTTAAATAAAACACTTTATTGGTTTAAAACGCGATATATTAGTTAAACTTATCATCATTTTCAAATAAGTTTAACTAATATATCGCGTTTTAAACCGTTAAAGTGTTTTATTTAAATTCTTCTTACTTATTGTTCCCAGCTGTAGCGACAGAGTTCTCCAGCTTATAGTTGAGCACACCGTTGTTATAGTCCTGATAAAATTGCACAGACAGGCATAGCTTATGCAAAGGCCGTGCAAGATGGTTCCCTATGGACACGCCGAGGGAGAGGCACTCGCCGGCGTTGCAGCTGTACTCTTCTTGAGGTTTCATGCATTGTTTGTTTATACTCACTTCTGAAAAAATAATAGATATTTAATTCGTGCTATTTCGTGCATATATTTTTTATTATTATCTTTTTATTCACACTACTTGACAATAAGTACTGAAATTTACAAAAAAAAAACGAAATTTTAACTTATGTAACATTAATTGTAGCGCAAAACAAAATAATGCGAAAGACGATATATCTGTCGCGTTTTTTCACTAGCTTCGACGGATTCGTTGGTATAATGGTAGCGATGTTAATATTTAACGGGTCGTGGGTTCGATCACCACCGGGTCTAACATGTTATCAATTTTGCAATGTATATTTCTTCTGAAACATGTTGTTGGACTTCGTATCGAAATCTGGATATTAAATGGACGGTAGGAATATCGAAATTCAGTCCCGATCACGAACCACCGTCCACAGATGTAAAAGCCGTGAAGTAATACCCAAAGCCAAAATTGCTCTACAGCACATCTTGTACAGATTGCATGTTCCAATAGCCGTACAGTGCAGTCAATTTTGAACTCATATAATAAAAAATTCTTCTTACCCCAATTAAGCGGGGACATCCTAACAATATAGATCATGGCCTGCGATAACGTGATGCCTTTGACTGAAGCTCGACCGCTTATGTTGGACTGTAAGAGATTCCAACGTAGTTTGACATTCTGTGTTATATGCTCTGAACACATCAACTCCAAGCTGTTTGAAGATCCTGTGCTTATCGATCGGATTTCTGTTGTATCTGGATTTGAAAAATATTGGCGGAGTAAAAGTTTTTTAATAACAAACAATCTTTTAGGGGTTTTAAAATGTACATCACAAGCCATGTACAGTAGGCGAAACGATCTGTGTACGCACGTAAGAATACCACAATGTAATTAGGTCTAAAGCATTAAAAAAAATTATAATACAGATACATACATGCATATAAGGAAAAAAATAATTAAAAAAGTTATTTAAGTATAGGAAGGGCGATGTCATTTTTATTTATTTATTAATCTAAGGACTGTTAACGTTTTATTACATTACTGATATACATGGTATAGCTTAAGTATAACAGGTAAAAAGATGCTAAATTGGTCAAAGAACAAAGACAGTTTGGAAACACGAATACGCTAAATTGGTCAAAAAAGAATACTTTAATTTTGTAACAAAGTATATGCACTTAAGGTTAAAATAGAGCATAAATTAAACTGAGCGAGCTGCAGGTAGCAAGGTGCAAAGTTTGCTGGGTAAGTCCAGGATAATATCAATTAAATCACTATGCTCTAGCAATCTAATACCGAGTTAAAATATTTTTACAATTCTACCTTCATTATTTGATTTAGGAGTCACATTGAAGGGACACCTATCCAGAGGTACGGGCACTCGGCAAGACTCCTTGCCTTCAATCAGAATGTGCTTATTTTCTGTATAGTGTAGGTCTATTTCTTCAGATGTCAAGTTGGTGACGTCCAACACTAGGTACAGTTGACTAGGGCTGAAATTGTAATTAGTAAAGCTATATAATGCTGATCGCAGATCTCTTAGTAGCGCACGCGCAGCATTTTTTCTCGCATATGATATAAAGGTGTGTTCGGCGGGTGCAGCTTACAGATTAATAATTTCAAAGTAATAACTTTGTACGGAAAATTTGTTGTTAATGGCAATGTGTTGTAACAATCAACAGGTCGCGGGATCCATCACCACAGGGTCTATAATTTTTGTTTTTTTTATTAATTTCGTTTTTTTTTTTAATGTTGGACTTCGTCTGGAAATCTGGATATTAAATATGTGGTAGGAATATCGAAATTCGTTCGGGTCATAAAATGCCGCCAAGTTTAATCGCGTTTCGGTTTCAGTCTGTGGATTTCCGAATATCCAAAACCAAAATGACAATAGCGCATCTTGTTTAGATGTTACATGAGGGTCTATCACCTACTTTCATGTAAACCCCATGCCTCTGTCCTCCTCTACCATTAACAAGTTTTACATTTCCAATAACTATATATTTATCAAAAAAGGGTTAGCTATTTTTCTCTTCTTTTAATTTTTTATTATATTATATATATTACAGCTCAAATCACAACATTTATACTATTATTCTAACATAGTCTTTCTTACAATACTCTGAATGTTAATAAGAAAAAAATATATATTTGGTATATTAATCTTACATTTCAGCTGGTAAAACGTCCCAGTGCGTGATGGATACACTAGGTAGCAATTCCAAGTTCACTTGTAGCGTCGATTGGCGACAATGTTCTGCGTCTCCTCCGCCGGAGTATCGTAAGAGAAACTGAAAACATTATTGTGTTGATAAGCGTGAGGTTATATTATGTAATAAGAAAAGTAATGTAATACGAAGTTCTAGCCGGAAGTTAAAGAAATATTAGTGGAAGTCACCCGATCACTTTGCTTATACTAATACTATAAGTTTACAATTCATAGCATCTTGTAATAAAATGAAATGCCAAAAAACGAGTCTACAGCCAACTCCCCCCAGCTAATTCTTCTTAAGTGAGTTATAAGTTAAGCCGCAAATTTTACAAAAAATTTAAAGTTGTAAATAATGTCGAGAAGTATTTTTCAAACGACGTTGGAAACTTAGCTTATTGTTCAATTGTATGTTAAAAAATAATATGAAATCTTGATTTTACCTGAGCCTCAATTTGTCGTCCTCGCGACGGTGGCATGACAGAAAGAGGCGCTGACCAGCTCGTTGTTTGGGAGTTTGTAGACCTGTAGACATTCCATATTATATAAGAGTGCACGAAAATTAGACCAATTTTATATAAAGTCTTACCTAAAACTACCAGACGTTCTATTAAGAAGACCACTGCTTAAAGAATTCTGTGGGTTAGAGCTCTGAGTAGGCAACGACGCATGCGCATTGGGCACTGGAGACCCAACTCTCGAAGGATAATTCGAAGTTAGACTGTTCGGGAATAAATTGTCACATCCACCTAAATCCAAAAAATCTGCTTCTCCATATAAATTCATAACAATTGATGCTGTATTGTTCGGTTTTATGGGTAATTGGGATTGTAGGTCGTCGTTATTCCACTGAAATACCTTTGTTTGCAATTGGCTATCCATATTCGACTGCAAACATAACAATTATAAGATAAACAATGTTTCGGTTCGAAGGACCAAAATTTTCAAACTTTTTTGTTGTTTGGCTAATAGATCTTTATATATACAAACCTGAATAGAGAGATCCAAGTATTCAATAGGCACGTTACTCGTATTGGTTATTTTAATTACACACTCTGTGCTTTCACCGTTGTATAACGAGATATTAGTAACACTTCCAGAAGATTCCAAATTGGACATAAGATTGCCAGACACTGCGACTTCAGTTTCGATGGTGATAGTTGGTAAACTAGGGATGACTTCAAGAGTAAACGAAGCAGGGAATTTATTCGGCATTGGCATATTTTTTAGGCGACAGTTAGATTTTACACCCAGTGTATGAGTGGAGTATCCTAATATTTGTAGTTCTCCAACTTCCTTAGGTGTCCCGTGAAGATTTACTGTCGTAGGTGAATCTGGAGGCAGTATTATTGTCTCAGGAATAGATTCAAATACTATGCCGGACGTAAGAAGGCGCATGTTGGATACTTTTAGTTCAAATGGAAGGGGGTTTGTTAACTTCATTTGGACTTCACAGATGTCGTCTTCGACCCACAGGTATTCTGGATAACAAAACAATGATGAATAAAAGGCGACCTACATACTTTTAACAATAATAATAGATTTTTTAATTAAGCTGATCGTATTGCGTTTAAAAATAAAATAAGAAAACAAATAAATGGGAAAACACAATAATTTTACATAATATATAAAATACGTACCCATTTTTCCCTCGTCTTTCTTAGATTTCCTCTCTAAACTCCCAAAATGTATCGGCGTGAATATGAATGGTCCCTGCTGCGGTTTCAATTTGATGAGGTGAGGGGTTCTTGCGGGAGGAAGTGGTCGTGGAGTAAAGTGAGAGCAGTGAGGCACGTGGGTGAGGTTAGCTGGGGGGATAACTTCCCCTGTTTCGAGAACTAGCGGAACTGGACCACCCTCGCATTGTGCAGATAATGCCTAAAAGAAACCATATACCCAATAATATGGTTGTCACATTATCTATACTTGGTTAACAACTGGTTAAATACAGTATGTGTGATGATTATATCTTAATAACACTAAAGATGTTTAAACAATTACCTATAAAAAAAATTACATGAAATTTTATTCAAACATTATTTTCTTTAATTACTCCCGATTATAGTGAAAAGCTTTATTTTGTTTGCATACCTGTAGCTGTATAGCAAGGTCACGTTGTTCATGTTTGGTGAGATGCGGCCACATTGTTTGCAGAAGGAAGGTCATGTGTCTCGTGGCTAGAGCGGGATGCACCATGCGTTTGGCTGCCACCACAACCTCTTGAAGTAGTTGGATTTGAAGCACAGGCCAGCCTGTCGAGGTCAAAAAGTTATAAGGTCATGGGTTATTTAGTGCACGTGGTATCTTATTATACCTGTTGGTTTTTCTATTTAAATAAAAACAAAACATTTTTTTGCTTTGTTTTTTAGCTATAAGGTAAAAGTCTGCTTCCTTCTATTTCCTATTACCTACAGACTTCACCTAAAGTAAGGTGATGCATGTCTTACCAACTTGATGCTGGATAACATAATTGGGATCCAAACTGAGCTTGTGTCCTGGGAAGCTGTGCAGCATAAGATAGTAGCATCTTCTCCAATCCGGATTCGGATTATTAACGCTGACATGGCGTGTGGCTGCAAGACGTTGGCAGAAGGCAGCTTTGCGAAGGAAACCTGAAAATTGCATATATATTAATATGAAGCTATGTTAATATACTACAATAATAATACAGTGACATTGGCGTTTATGGTACAGAAAACTGATGTCTTCCTTAAAAAGTATTGTATAAATAAAACCAACAACTTTAATAGTATAATTGTTTGTCTATTGTTAAAGCTGAAGTCTCAAACATATACAGATAAAAATAACATACCAATTTCCTTATAAAGTTCAGCGAGAGTATCAAATCTCTGTATCTTTTCCTGCTCACTCAGAGTCAGATTAATAAACATAACATTCTGCAGAAAGCCAGATGCAATCAGACTGTTGTTCTGCTCCACAGCTATCCTCGCTGCTTTGAAGCAAGCTTCCGTTTCGATTATACCAGCATTTTGATACTTGCTGTAGTGGATAATCGCTTTTCGGTATTTTTCTGCTATATCTTCATTACTGAGTAAGTACTGGTTGTGCAGTTGTGACTGAGGCTGCCTCGGTATAGATGGTAAGTCAGGTGTCAAAAACGATCTTTGATATTCAATATCGCTCGACAACGACTCAGTATCGGCAATCTCGGATTCCGATTGTCTTGATGAGGTTTCGATGCTCTCAGATGACGATGGCGTTAACTCACTCGGTGGATTAACAGGACTTGAAACTTTGGACTTTTGGGGTGAACCCATCTTGAATTTCCTGAATGGATCATTTGATTGGTATAGCGATAGTGACTTCAATTTTAGCGGTGAGTTCTCTTGCAAACTAGCGTTGCGTTGTAACGGTGTTGAATTACGCAAATTCGGATAAATTAGTATAGCGGATGCAGCACAGTGACCTAAAATATTAAACATAGGCTTTGAGCACCCTCTAATTATTGTAATGTAATGCAAGTTATCAGATATATTTCTTGGGTTTAATTATTGCTATATAAAGAATATAATTTCTAAAACCTTCTTTAGCAGCAGCCAACCAAAGCCAATCATTAACAGATTTCAATATTTCCGCCGAAGAATGATACTGAGTCAATGATTCTGCTACCAAGCCAGATTGTAAAGTTAAATCTGCGAGATTCTTTGTTACTCGGCCCATACATCGCTTTTTATTATTGCGGGATTCCATGTCAAGACCTTAAAGTGATTGAGTATTATTAATCTATAAATGCATTATTATACTAACTATATCATTAACACCTTACCAACAAAGTCTCTCTTTTCAAATGGTGCTAACAACAAAGACACCTTCTCCAATTTCTCTTTAGACCTCTCCAGTCTTTTGGACTCAACAACCCAGAACAGCGAGTTAATTAATTCAGCAACATGCTGTTCCAAATCTAACACTGGATCATTTTCACCATAGAACATAGCATGTGTCTTGAAGTTAGATGGTGTAGTGAAATTCTCCTCAGGCAGTGAATATGATGTAGTTGATGATGATGGTCTTTGAAAACTTTCTGATGATGATAGACTGTCTGCTTGTTCACTTGGTATTGACATTCTAAAAAAATTACATTAATAAAACTTAATCTCTCAACATGTAAATTTTCTTTAATAGTAGAATATAAAAGTAAACATTCTTATTATTTTATTTAAGAAATGGATCAATGGTCTGACTAACTGACCATTCAACACATACTTATCACTTAAGCTACTTTTCTCCTTGAATAGCTTCTCATCTTCAAAAGCACTGTAGATCTCTGGTTCTTGTTCTGGCTTCTTTAAATTATTTCCAGGGCCAAACATGAAAGCCCGAGAGTCAAACAGTGTGTTTGAATACTTTACTTTTAACGATTCATGCACACGGCACACCTCATTTAGTTCTATTTGGTTAGTAAACTTGCTCAATGTTATCAGTCCGAGGAGACGTCTGAAATTGTAGTGTTATATACTATTTAATTATTTCAATATATAAACTATAAATTTCATACACTGAAATCTACACAATAGGACAGATAAATCCTATACCTAACGAAATTTAAATCTCAGTTTCAACTCTCAATAATTGTTCCAATTAAGTTGTCAAAAAGTCGATTATCAAAGAAAATTAATAATTATATTGATACTTCTTAGATATTACTTACCTGTGAGTTTGAAAGTCTCCCCAATCATTATTCTCAACAGGATAGTCACGAACATATCTCACCCAAATATCCCGTACTTGGCCACTAGAGTCTAAAGAAACAAGATTATAAGGTACAGTTAACAACTCTTATACAATGTATGTTGAGTTACATGAAGGCTAGGCTTACCTGTAACTTTAATATTGTTGACTTTTTGAATTCTTTCCCATAGTTTATTGAAGTTTTTGAGTACGCCCCCAATACCCTTAACAAGCACCAAGAGGCAGGCATGGTGCTGTATTTCCTGTGTATAGTCAGGATGCGACATCACCGACTCCCCGGGTGCGTGAGATAATATATAGCTCACCGATGAGCGCATTGAAATTGCTACAAAATTATGCACTATATTACATCGAACAAAATTACCATTTACATAGCATAATATAAGCCAATGTTAATAAAGTATATAACAGAACTGTGTAGCTACAGAAGTACATTAATTTGAAGTTTTCTAAGAAATTAATGCATTACATTATACAATTTTAATAGGGAGAAAACAGAGTTCCTGTTTTTTTCATATTTGTTTTGAATTGCAATTTTGACGTTTGCCCTTATTATTATGACACGCATTGATAGTTGACAGTTCTAAGGTTACCGTCGTGCTGAAGTTCACATATGTGACAATTGACAAATTTTAATCCAAATAGAAAGCTAACCTCTACTTTTGCAAGTTGTGACCGGAATATTTTGTTTGTTTACTTTAGTTAAGTTAAACCAAATGTGAGAGATAAATACTTGAAAAGAACCATTTTCATTTATAGTTTAGTATACAAAGTGCAAAACATTTTATAAAATATATCTAACATGGCATCAAAAGAAGGCGGCGAAAAAAATAAGGTTGTAAATGTTTAATTTTTCTTTAAAATTGGTAATTAATAGCTTATTTACATAAAAACTTAAAAAATTGTATCTTTTTGCAACTATTACTTAACTTGTTCTATTTCCCCAGGGTTCTCAAGGCGCGGGAGATAACAAAGAAAAAAGGAGAAAAGAATCAATTCTCGACTTAAGTAAATACTTAGAAAAGAGTATTCGTGTCAAATTTGCTGGGGGCCGTGAAGCCGCAGGAATTCTAAAGGGATATGACCCTTTGTTAAACTTAGTATTGGATAACACAACAGAATATTTAAGAGGTAAATTTTATTTTCTGAAATTGCTCGCTTCTACTATGTTTGGGAACACAAAATGACGAGCATATATTTTGAAACGTAAAGTTGTAGATAATCCAACCATCAAATAAAAAACTAATCATGTCTCTCTCTGTTCACCCCTTTAAATGATGTGTAACATATAAATCTCTAGGCAATGTTTACAAATGTATTAAAATTTAAAAAATAATTATATTTTGACTTAATTTAAATAACTAAGCATTTGTTCAATTCTTTCCAGACCCTGACGACCCATATAAATTATTGGATGATACCAGAGCACTAGGTCTAGTAGTGTGTAGAGGAACATCTGTGGTTCTTATTTGTCCTATGGACGGAATGGAGGCGATCCCAAACCCTTTCATAGCGCAGGAATAAGTTTAAGATTGCTAAGTTAATTAAATAATATTAAGACTTATTCCCTTCTTATTTATTTAGACATAACCATTGTGCTGTACAGTATAATGGAGACACAAAGCAAGTTGTTCTTTCTCACTACTCACATCATCCTTACACCACTTTTTACCAATGTTGTATAATATAACATTTGACTTTCCAACTTTATTAACTTTTAATTAATTATTAGTGAGGTAACTGCAATATTGCTATCTCTTATTCTCTTAATAGTGCCAATTAAGCTGCTGTGTCAAGATCGATTTTAAGGTTTTAATCCCTTCAGGATCATCTTTTTTTAAATCTACTAAAGTAATATTTTTAATTGAAAAAAAGCTTAGTGGAATAATGTATACTATTACAAATAGTTACTCATTTATTTACTTCCTGATAAGAACTGAATATTACATCAGCCTATTTATTCTTCCTTTTAGAGATTAGACTAAAAATAAATAAGATATAATTAAAAGTATCACACAGATAATAACTTAAAAAGTATTCAAAGCTAAATTGAATATTCTACTCTTAAAATAATGTGGTAACTTTTTATTTGTATCAGCTGGCTAAGTCTACTCAAAACCAAATTCGTTTCGTATCCACGGATAACTCTTCGGGCAATCCACACAGGTGATCATGTATTTGTCGTGTTCCAAAACTTTGGAGGGTAGTTTGCATGTCCTCGGTTTGCTGCATGCTATCTCCGATTCTTGGAAGCGTCGGTTCTTGCACTGCCAGGGTTGGAACTTCTTCAGTTGCAATACTGGAGTGGGTCGTTTCATCCAATCGATGACTTCACGGTATGTTACGAAGTACACGTCCGGTAGTCTTAGTAGTTCGTCCGTGAATTTCTGAAAGATTTATTATCAGTGAATTAGATTGAATATAGGATTTATAAAGACCGAGTCTTATAAGACCTCGTCTTATATCCATATTAATATTATAAAGAGGAAAGATTTGTATTTTTGTATGTAACGGATAAACTCAAAAAGTACTGGACTGATTTTAATAATTCTTTTTTCATAAGAAACCTACATTATCACTGAGTAACATAGGCCATATTTAGTTCTTGATTACTGAAGGCGTAAAACAATTAGCCGTAAAATGTCTTTCTTCGCATATGCTGCGAAAACCATTAATGATAGGACAAAAAATGTTCGACAATATTATAGAATATATCAATATCGCGAGAGGTAGTTAGACATATAACTATTATAGTTACGTCGCTATAACTACTTTTTTACAATTCACAAATTAATAGAAATGCCGATCAAAATCAGACCGTGTTATCCATACCATTTATGAATTTTTATCCAAATAAATAATTTAATATTCAAGACAGTCTCAATACCTGATGATTACTTTTTAATAAAACATCCATTCAAAAGATATCATGAAATTAAAATAAAAAACATGCCGCGCATCGAGTAACTAATTTGACGATAGAGGGGCAGTGCGGTCGGCTCCTTACGCAGTGGGCGCGAACGACATTGAATATTTCGAGTTTTTTTTAAAACATTTTTATGCTTCACTTAAAAAGTTCTTTTCAGAGCTACTTAGTTTTAGTATTAGGAATCACACTCTGCATAATATTTGTCAAAGTTCTTTTCAGAACTATCGCTTTGAGCTTGAATATTTTCTTTTATTATTATTAGTTTATTCTTAATTTCTCTATTTAAAATAAAATACAATATGCCTAGAAGAAGGTCGCAGCTATCTAAGAATAGTTCCCAACAATTAGCAAAAGTTCGTCTATTGGAGAGTCTTCTTCCTAAAATGATCGTCTAGAAAGTGTTAGATTGTAAGGGTCCCAATCGAGCCAGAGAACATCTCGATTGTTAGTTCCGTCTTGCAGAACAATAATCGTCCAAGACTTAAGGAAATAGAACTAGGTATTCGCGACGGCACGGACTAAACTAAGCTCCAGGCTCCTACACAGCAGATAGACAACGGTCGTTAACAGCTAGGACGCGCAATACTTTTTTCTAATTTAGTGATTCATGGTCATTTAATTAGCATGCTTATATTTAAATTCTGTATCTATTTATGTCTACTGTCGAAGCGCGTACTACTATAACAATATAAATATCCTCAATTATTGTAAAATGTAACAGAAAATAATTTCGAATGCAACGTTAAAAATTAAAATACTTCTATCTTAATAATGTAACTTTTGAAACATATATTTAATATATATCGACATCATCTAGAAAAACACGTGAACTTTCTCCTGCTTAACTAAACAATGGGGAAATCGTCGAGTACCAGAAGTGTGAATAATTTACAAAATGAATTATACAGTCATCGTAATACCGCATAATATAACATCGTTTATTCTGAGGTTTACAGTACTCTTGAATTCAGTTAATGAACAATATCAAGTAATGCAACTGGGAATTTTTGCTAGGCTTCTGTATCCCAAAGATTACTTTTATAGATCCAATGCTTATACGAGTAGGTATAGACCTTTGAGCGCCCAATTGCTTGTCGATTTTTACTACTTACTTTAAGTGCCGTAAGATAATCATTATTCTTTAGCCACGTGGAATTTAAGTGGATACCGAACGGTGCCCGATTCTTGAGGTAGTGTCTCTTGAAATTATCCATTAGGACGTTGTACACGTCGTTTCCGCTCAACGTGGATGGACAGTATTCGAGGGTTGCGCAGGAGTGGTCTCCGTTCTTCAGTGGGTTTATCACCATCTCCCATAACCCAGCGTAACTTCGTGTTGGACAATATTGGTTGTTACCTAGACATAAGTTCTTTTTTTTATATTGAGATAACAAATGGCTGGAGGAGAAGAACAAAAGTAGAGGAGATACTTTTTAAATACTTTTTTTTTTAAATTAAACATCTTTTTAAATATGTAATAGTATAATTAGTTATGGTATTAACTACGTTTTAAATTCTTTATAAGAGTAAGCTTTGAGACAATATTTCAAACTAAGCTGTAGTGTAAAGTATTGGTTGTGTTATGGTATGTCTACTCGTATAACCAAATAATTCTCTATAGTAAGTAGTCCCTGCTTTGTAGTGATAAAAAAGATTTTTTTAAACATGCATAGGCCCAGCCTGCCTCTGCTCATACATACATAATATTTACATCACTAATGTTTGTTTGCATAAAAAGTACATAAAAAGATTCAGAAAACGTAAAAGTTTCATTTATCGCATATATGAATCATACCGTCTTGTTACATTATATGCTTTACGCAACGTATTTAAGAAACCATTACAAAGATGTCAAACGATTTCTGCGAACAATACCCTCTCATAATAACTTACTTAATGTTTCACACGATACACTTATTTACTAGATCCTCTCTAAAAACAGTTGAAGGTACTTATTTGTAAAAATGTAGGACACAATATGATTCAATATGGCAACGGGTTAAATGTTAGCGCGATTTCTTAGTAAACGATATCTTAGGTCCAAATGTTCTAATTTCTACAGTGTTAATATGAAAAACAATATAGAGGCGTATACATATAGTAACTGTAAATATGAATTTTGCACAATCCAAACTTTTTTCAAAATATTGTATTTAACGCATTCTTCTTCATTCGTAACAAAATTTGAATTACCAGTACATTGATGAGGCATTTTGTAGTCCAATGTGTATGGCCAGAAGGGTGGGTCGACCATTGGTGCTACGACAGTGGCGTCATAGACGAAACCAAACTCTTGCATCATTAAGAACTGCCTATTCCAACCTACGGATAGGTAAGGCACGCGCATTCCTCTGAAAATTATAGATAGTTAGCGTTCGTTGTTCGTGGCTGTGGTGTTTGTAACATTATTAAAAACGCCATTAACATTAAATAAACTGTACATAATATGTTCGACACACACACCCACATATTTAATGTTTAATCGTAAGCTTAATCCATCTTTCCAGTCTCTTCGTCTTTCTAGAACTCGACCTGGTTCATCACCAAAAACATAAGGCGAGAATGTGGGTGCTTCGATACTTTGCTGTATGTTGTAACTAATAATATAATAAAGGTGAATATTATCTATGCATTTTATTTCTGTGTTTGTTTTATTTTCCTCAGTAATAAAATATAAATATATTCTCGTTACTTTTATAACTTTGACAGTTATATTCGTGTTTGTAAATATCTTTAAAGTAATATCATTATTGATGATTTTTTTTTATGCGAATGAATGTATTACCTGAATTCCTCCATCCATACTCTTCCAAATCTATTGATAATGTTAGCTTGCCCCACCATTTCGTCGAACCAATCCTCAACTGTTGCGTTTCTGGACCACCATTCTTCGGGACCACGATGTCTACCAAAATATTTATTATGTATAAATCTTATTGTAACTCTATTAATGTTTAAACTATGAGCTGACCATTTCCAATATCAATTTCGTTCAAAAGGCTGGACTGATTTTCGTAATGTTTGGTGTCATTGATCTGCACCTGATCATACCACTATTTCGGAGTACTTCGTTATGAAACATGTCATGATTCTTAGGAATGTAAAGAGAATAGAAACGGGTCTCTCACGTAACGCGACTAAAGCTGTGTATGTCTTCTATACTTAACGATTATTATAACACATAGGTCAGTACATCATTGTGACTTATGTAATGATGCCGTATATGCAATTCCCATTTCCTTATTAAGTCTGAAAATCACGTCTAAATGACAAGAAGATAGAAAGCGGCCATTTTCATTATGATTGATGACACTAAAGATTCCACTTACGTTATAGAATGTACGGCGATTTCATGATCGTCATTCCATAGCTTCTGGACGTGCCTATAATTAGTGTAGAGATGGGACACGAAGAAAGTCGCTTTAATTGGACATCCATTAGGGTTTTTGCGGTCCGGTGTTAGGATGTGCTTCTGGTATATGTCCCAATTTTCGTGGTTCACAGGCCCGTCGAATGTTAGAGTGATCATTTGTGGGGTCTAAAATGGATAAGATGTTAGGAGTTTGTTATGTAAGACCTGGGTCGATGTGCAATCTGTATATATAGACTGTTTGGTTTAAAGAATGGTCTTTATTACCTATTTATATATATATATATATTTGCACATTTTTAACAGTAGAACCGATACGAGTAAGATAATTAATTGTTACTATAGTTGAAATATAACATAAAATGTGTCAACTTAAGATGGTAAATATTTGAATAATATTTGAATTTACTTGTAAATGGTTTGTTCTTGGTGGTCATTTATATAAAATTTATGGCTGTCCTTCATTTAGGCTTGTCAAGATTTTTTGACTTTTGTCTGGCTCGTAAGCATAGGTTCTTCTCAGATCGGAGGTATTAAACATATTTGTCTAAAGTGAACTGACAATAGTAACAGTTGTCTTACCTGACTAGGAATCAAGTTTCCCGGTGTAGCGTTGCCGTGTTTCGTGCAAAAGCAGTTAGGTAACTGGCATAACCCTGGGTCACATGGTAGAGCCGCGTTTGGATCGTTATTGACATCACACCAGCCCTATCGACGACAGTGATATATTGTGAATAGTGAACATTGATAATATGAGTACATTTCTTATTTTATTAACAAGAAACATAGTGTCAAGGTATTTGCGTTTGGCATTAGTTGCTTGAAGAATTGTTTACATTTAAAATAATTATTTTAATATATTAATGCATATAATAGTATTCAGTCATGTTATAAACTTGTTTTAGTAAAAGTAATATATAACTATGATAAGTCAAAGTAACATTACGTAAACGTACTGTAATAATACATAACAGACATGATTATTCATTATTTACTATTCTTTTATAAGGCTTTGTATAATAACTATAATTTTAAATTTAACTTTATAATTTAAAATTAATATCTAGTACATTACATACATATATATCACATCATTACAGTTTTTACATCGTAATCATACTTAAATCGACTCTTTTAAATTCAGAGTCGGGTCGTAGTTAAAATAATTTTAAAATAAGTTTTGCCGATATATATCCCGTTTTAAACCTTAAATCAGATACACAATCCAAAAGTTTAAACTCTATAACTTTTAAATAAAACACTTTAACGGTTTAAAACGCGATATATTGGGGGAGACTCCCCGTGACCACGGCTGCTGCAAAGCATCCGAAACGTCGGGCCGAAGTTAAAAATCATTTTCAAATAAGTTTAACTAATATATCGCGTTTTAAACCGTTAAAGTGTTTTATTTAAATGTGTACTACTCGCGTAAACAATAGACTCTATAATTTTTCCTTTGATTTCTGTTGGTCTATTTTAGCGAGAAATACAAGTATAATTATCATAATTGGCCCAGTTTGACTGTGATTGAAATATTAATGAGTCATGCGAGGAAAATAATTTCCTTCCTATAAAAGTCTACATCGGAAGTTATTGTATAAGTAGATTGGCGGTAAATAACAAATTTGATATGCGGTGAAAGTGGACGCACATTAGCGAAAACGTGTTATGTAAATCGGTTCAACGAGATATCTTTGATATTATAGATTTCTTTGGGGTAGAATCATCTCAATATTCGTTGTTTAGAGGATAGAACTGTATTCAAATACAGTAACACATATGTGCAACAATTTAAAATATGTTAGCATTAACCATATCAAAACAACAGCATAAAATTTTCTTCAAACTAAATAGTATAAATTGCGTATGGCTTTCACGGCCATCCTTCATCATTGTTTTCAACAAGTTCTTCGAGCAATCGAGGAGCTAAGATCTCCTGATGATGCCGTCCGCTCGTGATGGCGAAACGTCGAGAACCTCTTCGCGCTTACGTCGGCTGAACATCCCGAAAAACTGCTATGCTAAATAGTATAAACTGAACATTATCGTCCTTTTTTCTTTCTCCATACTGTGAGGGTTTTTTTATTATTAGTACCGCCCTAGTGTAAAAATAATTGTTTGGTTGTTAACAATAATATTATCTTATATAATAGAAAACCGGTAAAGTTTCTAAGGCAGTCACTTGAAAAGAATTTTAAAGGCATAGCTGTAACAGCGACGTAATATGTTGATTTTAAAAGAACAAGAGAAAAATACTGTCTGTAGTTTACGCGAGTAGTGCACATTTAAATAAAACTTTTAACGGTTTAAAACGCGAAATATATTACTTAAACTTATTTGAAAATTATTTAAACTACGGTCCGGTGTTGCGAATGCTTTGGAGTAGCCGTGGTCACAGGAGACAAGAGTACTTGGTAGATTTAGAACAAAAATAATTTTATTTAAATGAAATACTTTTAACGGTTTTAAGCTCGAAATGTAATAGTTAGCTTATTAACAATATTTTTAACTACGGCCCGTTGCAAAGCATCGTGTCGCGGATTAAACCGTTATAGTGATTTATTGAAATGTGTACTCGCGTAAACTACAGACAACCCTTAAGAATAAGTTTTAATTAGTAATATAGTTAAGAAGCAAGAGTAACTATTACTTACTTCATCTGACGAATCGGAACAATCGTTAGCACCGTCGCAGAAGTATTCAGCTAGAATGCATGTGTCGTCCGCGCAACCGAGATGCGTCTCGTTTGCGCACTTTGCAGCATCTAGCAAAGGCTTGGGTACTATGGTCTCTGTGTACATATATTTTGCTAAGTTCATTCATTATAAGATCATGTACAACGTTCAGTCATTAGATAAGAGTGGTAAGGTGGAATGTCAGTCCACCACGTCAGAGTTTTTTTTTTATGATAGGACAGAGAAGCTTGGAGTTTGCTTGATGGTACGTAAAATACCCCAGCATGTAGCATATAAACAAGATGTGCTGTCGATCTATTTTGGCTTTGGATATTCGGAAATCCACAGACTGAAACCGAAACGAGGTTCGTGACCTGGACACAATTTCTATTCCCTGCAACCCATTTAGCATCCAGATTTCCAGACGAAGTCCAACATGTTTCAGGAAAATTATAAATTGATTAAAAAAATGTTTGACCCGGTGGGGATTGAACCCCTTTAAAGGGGAACGCTTTTGATTAGCGTAACACTAATTAGCCAACGATTGTAATGTAATATCGCAAGATATTACATTTGATGTAAAATTATGCATTTTTTACTTTACCTGTAGTGAGGTCGCAGTTATGAACATTCTGGTACATATCGCAGAGTTGTCTGTTGACATCAAAGAGTAGCCCTTTTGTGCACTGGAATTCAAACACCTCGTCCTCTAAGCACAGGTAGTATTTGGAACATTCGTCGGCAGTCCACATCGTGTCTTCATCTCGGTCTGGATTTCTAGAAAATAATGTTGAATCTAAGCAATTACTATTTTTAACATGGTTAAGAGTTTGCCTGTAGGGCTGGCTATGAATACGTAACATTGTAAGGTTTAATGAGTTAAAGATAAATTAAATTGATAAACTAAGGTTTAATATCGTACGTTTAATTAATTGTGTAAGGCTTTTATGCTCATCGTTAGTATGATACTGTTTTCGGGCTGTTTGGCCGACGTCAGCGAGCAGGGGTTCTCCACGAGATGTTAGAGCTCTTCGATTGCTTGAAGAATTTGTATGAATTCTTCAAGCAATCGCTGGCCGAACAGCCCGAAAAACAATGATATGCGCATACGTTTAATATTAATTAATCTCGCATTGTTTTAAAATGATTTTTTAGCTTTTTAAATGCGATGTTTTAATTGTGTTGTAATGTAGCAAAAAAGGTATAGCTATGTGCTAGAGGTTCTGGGTTCCGATACATGAATGTGACAGTTTCGTTCGGACAATTTAACATAGACATCTGATTTACTTCTTAGTGAAATAGAATTGGGTAGAAACACAAAACTGCTTATAGGGTAAACTTATAAAAACCTTTTAAATACTTTACAGGCTATAATAGTAAGGGCATAATAAATTTGTTTTTCAAAAGCAAAGTCTGATTATTTAACAGTTAATCGTAAGTAAATCAGGGAAAGTGGATTTCTCGCGACGCGACAGGAAATGTTGATTGGTTACTGTGTGAGATATGTGTTTGAGACAAGTTTAAGATCAAAGTTAGTATGTAATCAAGACTTGAATACATACTTATAAGTATACAATTATTGATTGCAATCAAATCAATTAATTATTTGTAAAGATAATACAATTTCTTTACAAATAATAAATCACTGAAGTTTTAATAACAATACTTTTGTTATACCATTAAATTTTTTAATGCTATTAGTTTAACGTATTACAGCTTGCTTATGGACCCACTTTAGAATTGCATAAACATTGCTTTAAAAACTTTTTAACGAAAGTAGGTTCTTAACTTCTAAACTTATTCGGGGTTTTCCCGCCCATTTTATAGTATTATCTATTTTTTACAGTTTACAGAGTATAGAGATTTCTTGAAGTCTATAAAAATTGAACAGTCAAGACGCGATCTGTCAATCTCAAGGTTGGCGAAAGTTTAGGTCAATAGCCGCGTAGACAGTAAAAATGGCGGGAAACAAAACAACTGCGTTTTATTTGTTTCATATAATCAGTGTCGCGTGCGTTCCTGCATGCGATGTATCTTACTATTTACGGAAGTAACTATTCTATTCATACATTATATTATATTGTACTTGTTGATTGCTATTCTTTGTAAATGTGGTGATATTATCACGTACTTAAATATTTATCACAATTCTTGTCTGTGGTAATCGATATGAAAATGACTTAAGAATTCGGTAGCTTATGATTTCCTTGTTGTTTGCTGCCGTCCTAATTCCTAATGCCCGCTATAGGAAATGTGGTAAAATATATACTTCATCAAACACAGGTCACCAAAAAGCAAATAGGTAGATATATTAAAACTTATTATTTGTGAAATATTAATAAGATACATTCTTCGAAAGTTATATTAGAGCATATAAATTATAGGAAGATATTATACCTAATAGCTTATAATATTTATAAGTACCTATGTATACAATTTCCTACAAATCAAGCTGTTGCGTCTTTATGTGACTCTTGTAAAGTATGTAGTACTTAGTAAATCAAAAATATATACATATATTCTATTTTAGTAATATTTATTTATAAGGATTTTTCACTTGCCTATAAAATCTCCCATTTTCGTGACATTTAGTATCCAGTAAACTTCGTTTATTCACATGTTTTCCTTGTGTTCCTGTAAAACAAATAATTGAAAAAACATTTTCACACGCGCGACATTGTTGTAGAAGTAACACCAACAAACATATTTCTTTACCTATAAATATAACCGTAAGTGCTAAACTAAAATAAAACCGAGAGAGTCGGTAAGCCATGTTGTAGGCCCAGCTTCTGTTATAATACTGAATGATAGCAGGTTACTAATGAACTTTCCTTTCGGTAGACAGCCGTAGGTACATATTGGTAGAGAATGTCTTAAATTGATTTAATAAGTATAAAAAATGATAAAATAATTTCCTTGGGTCACACGGAGACGCTATAACCTAATAATAAATAATGGTGTATTAGGAAGGAGATAACAACTATCTCGCCTTTGATCTTGATTATTCATGATTTTTAACAATGTTTGAAGTTATTACAAAATGAAAGATTGGTGAAGAACTTTAGTAATTTTTAAATATCTTCATGATGCTTACTACTTGAAATTCCAACACTGCTACACTTACACCTTCTGTTTCACTGCTTTCTAGGTTTTTAGTTTCATGTTGTTATTTGCTTAGTAGTGTTGTAGTATAACACACTGATTTATTATCAATCTTTATTAAAGTTTATTGAGAACATCCTTCTCTGCAAAGTTGGTTAAACTTATTGCGAAAGAATGTTGTGGACCATCTCTATCTTACGCATAAAAATATCGCCCTTATTTTTACTTAGATTATATGTAACCACATAAAAGATCGAATTATTTTTTAGACTGTCCAATAAAACGGTGAATATTAATTTAAACAATTTTTCAGAGTCATCAGAGACGTTTTAAAAAAGATAACCACGCCTTTAGTTCAATATTATGCTTTCTATGTGCCTATCCAAGTCTGTGGTGAATGTCAGAATTCAATCAAAACAAATTGATTTCTCGAGTTTCGATTTCTTGTAGCCACTGAATTTGCCGGTGATAATTTTCGATAACATTATTATTGTTGTGTGTTCTTTGTTTATAATTTATTAATAAAATAAATTTAGATAAAATGAAATGCCTCTCAACAATAATACAAGTTCTTATAATGTTAAGCGTGTGTTTTGCAACTCTGTCGCCGCCGGCTGATAAAAAGTCACAAAAAAGGGGTTAAACCTCAAGAAGGTCCTCGGAAGAATAATGTATTGGATAGGAAATTAGTTGTTGAAACACCTTACGCTAAGGATATCATAAAGTATCACGCTACTTACCATCAAAGCACTACTTGGCGTAATTTCGTAAATTCAGTTTTAGGCTTCGTTACACCGGTTCGTTTGTTTTCACTTATATTTTTAATAACAGAGGATTACATTCCTTATATAAGTTTACCCCTTAGTTCTTACATAATTACCAATTTGCAAATGTCAGTTATTATTTACAATATTGTGGTGAAATATTTTTAAAGCTTCGTACAAAATACGAGAGATACGAGGCTGTTTATAATTTATTTTACAGTGGAACAACAAAGGTTATGATGTAGCTAAAATGTGGGCACCAAAGTTTAATTACATTGCTCCAGTGTGGTTACATGTAAAAAGACAGAGTCCAAGTATTTATATAATTTCTGGCCTACATGATGTGGATCATGCGTGGATGAAAGCGGTAAAACAAAAGGGTGTCTCAAGTAGTATTAAAAGTAAGTACTGTCTGTTTTACAAAATATTGTAAATAAGAGTAATTGTGCATACAATGCATATGTAAACTTCCATCCTTTAAAGAAAACGTTTCATTCTGTATTTTAATATAAAATAAAGTTAAGTTAATTCTATGAGTCTTAAATAAAATTAAATAATCTCGACATTCATTAAACTAAAATCAATGATATGCTTTCATTATTTTATTTACTGCATAATATATTTGTCTCTTTCAGTATTACCAAGGTTACTATTTGAAAACTGGCAACCATCTGATCTCAAAGCCTTCTTTAAAGAGCCATCATCACTCTCAGAACAGAAAGCTCTAATTGAAGAAGTGAAGAAAACATGTAAACAGTGGAACTTTGATGGTATAGTGTTAGAAATGCTTTCGCAGATTGGAAAGTATGTGGAGAAATCTGTGAAATTCATCCAACAGTTTGGTGAGAATATGTAAACTGTTTTAGTGTTGTGTTATTAAATTATACATTTATTCAACATTATAAGCAAAAAATTATACATGAGTTTTAAATGTCAAAAGGGTAACTGGATTTTTATGAGTGCCGCATTCTTAGCTAATACATGTTTTAATTAGATTAAAAAAAAAATCTTTAATTTTGTTGACGACAGCTTTTTCTTTATGTATGTACTTACACTTTTATGGATTGTTGCATTAGAGACTGATGCTATATAATAGAAATTTACTTATATTAACATTAGTGTTTGATTTCTTGCATAGAATATGCAATATGGATTCAACATTTCTTGCAGGCCTGGAAATGAGTGAAGATGATTTGAAACTAATTCTGGTGTACCCACCATTCCGAGGTTATCCAAGTGATGAGTTTTTCGTAAAAGCGTACAACGATGTTTATCCTTACGTAGAGGCAATTTCAGTCATGACCTACGATTTTTCAAGTCCACAAAAGCCAGGTATGTGGTGAAAACTTCAATCTAATATAATAAGCCCTGTTTGTGTGTCTCATTTTATAAGTACGAATTTGGGTACGAAAAGAAATATAAAGTAGAACCAATTATTTAGAGTTTCTTATAAGTCCTCTTTAACTAGAAGGTCCAGTGGTGGGAATTGTGAGGTCTTTTAGCAGTTTAGATTGTTTTCACCGGCGGATTCGAAACAGGCATATAATAATTATGCACCTCCACTATGTGTTTGTTATAGGTCCAAATGCACCATTATACTGGATGAGACTATGTCTAGAGAAGTTAATTGAAAATGAAGAAAATCCATCAAAGAGGTCTAAAATATTACTGGGATTGAATTTCTATGGCAACTCCTATACTGCCAATGGTGGTGGACCTATTGTAGGAACGGAATATATTGAATTATTGAAAAATGCCAAAAACAACCAGATGTTATCATATAATAATAATACTGCTGAAAATTATATAGAAATTAGGTAAGTTCTTATAATATTGCTCTTTTTTATTTTAGTCAGTTAAAAAGGTAAGAAGTAATTATTCAAGTTAGTTATTATTGTTATTTTTTTAAATTGCTGGCTTCTTTATTTCACCATAAAGTTAGATTTATTGATTGTGACTCGCTAAAAATAATATATTTTGTATAAGTAATTATTATAACCTTTCTTTATTAACAATATATCACCTCATCATACCACTTTCTAGTTAATAACTCTTTAAATATGTAAATTTTCATATTATTTCAGAACGTCGCAAGGAGCCAAAAAAGTATTTTTCCCCACACTGTACTCTATACAGAAGAGACTAGATTTAGCCAAAGAATTTGGAACGGGAATTGCCATCTGGGAGTTAGGTCAAGGACTGGATTATTTCTACGACTTATTTTAAATGTGATATTAATTTTAGGATTAATAAATTATCTCTCTTAATTTGTATATAAGCGTTTATTTAAAACCACCTTAAAACTTTCAATAATAAAATCTATGAAACCGTTAATGATCTAAAGAAACCTCTCAGTCTTATTTACAATTTCTTTGATAGACAAAAAAATAATTTATATAAGTAATATAACCATAAGCTAAGCGGCTTGAGGCTTTCTCTTTAACTCCATCATCGATTGCGGTCCTTTCATCACGCGATGCATCAAATCCCAACACATTTTAGATGGGAGAAGGCTGAAAAACATTTGTATTTTTATAATATATTTTGCTATTCACACTTAAGAATTGAAATATGCAAGGTGCGAGAGGTAACCAATTCCTCACGTATTTGCGATTCGTGCTCATGGTAATGGTCTAAATGAATTCAAGTATGTTGGTATGTTTGTTCTTTACTCTTTGTAGCTAAATAGTAAATCGTGTTGTTTAGCGTTGCATTAAGCGCTAGAGGTACGGTGTTCGAATCCCAGGGAAAAACCATTGTCTTGGCCAGGCAGGGCAGAGAAATCTAAACTCCTACTTGCCAGTAAAAAACATCATTAGATGGTCAGTGAACGGACACGAAAATGTATTCGCCGCATGCCTCATGGGGAGCACGTTTGTAGGGCAAGTATGTAGGTGTAAAATAAAAATGATATATTTCATGGCCGCAAATATCTTCTTGCCTTTTCAAGATATTTAATTGTTTTTGTTTAATAAGAGGCAATAATAACTTGTGTATCTAACAGTTTAGTATTTAAGATCTAAATTGTTTAATTCCTCACCATTTAAGAGGCAGTAGATATCTAACTGAACCAGGCATAATGCAGTTGACCTCGTTCTTCCGAATGGAGTCTATCATCGTCTCTGCTACGTAATCAGGTTCCAGCATCGGCACCAGACGAGGTGTGACGCCGTCAAACATCCCTGTGTTTATGTAGGAGGGGCAGACTAAAGTTGCGTGGATCGTGCTGTGCCCGTGTGCCTATTACATAGAACGATAGTTTATTATTTAGATGGTATGGCAATTATTATTATGATAGCGATAATACCTAGTTTATATCTGTATTTTAGGTGAGAATTAAACTAGATATAATTTTACAAAATAAACGTAAGCAATGTAATCGGAAAATGCTTTATAAACTCTGGTCCGCCTTATTGCATTTAGTTCCAGTCCTTAGTTTAGAACTTTGGTGGATCGGTTTTTTTTATGTCTAGTAGCTAGGGACGTCAGGGAAATGGGAGTCCCCCCCCCTTATTTCTGTTGGAACATGAGTTGGTTCTTTTTTTAATTACTACCTATTATTATTAAATGTCTAGTATAAATATTACGTCGTTTTGTTGTACTTTTATTTTCTAACACATCATTATATTATTTTTAGGCAAGATTGGACGATCCATTTTAGTTGAGTCCTGCCTTACGATTTGGTATTATTGTCAGTTCTAGTCGTTAGAATTTGGAAAGTTCATCATCTACTGACCATGATCAGTGAATTGGATATCTGCTAACGTGTATTTTTGGTGAGTGTTATTTGAGCTGCACCTATATTAAATACTGTCTATAGTTTACGCGAGAAGTACACATTTAAATAAAACACTTTAACGGTTTAAAACGCGATATATTAGTTAAACTTGGGTTAAACGGTCTTCCCGTGACCACGACTGCTGCAAAGCATCCGAAACATCGGGCCGAAGTTAAAAATAATTTTCAAATAAGTTCAACTAATATATTGCGTTTTAAACCGTTAAAGTGTTTTATTTAAATGTACCTATATTACTATTTTGTATTTACATATATTATACATATTTGGTAGTTACACATAAGTTTAAAAATTACCCGTAACTCCGTAAACAAACTTTCGTGAAAGCCGACTGTAGCAAACTTGGTGGCGCTGTAGTCTGTACAGCGATAAGTTCCTAACAAGCCGGCAACTGAACCAACAGTCACGATGTGGCCTTTTTCTGTCTCAATCATATCTGGGAGGAAGGCTTTTACTGTCTGAAATAATTAATTGGTAATATGTAGGCATGCTATAATATGCGTAAACTAACTACAAAGATACGAACTGTTTTACCGCCTACGATAAAAAATGTGGCAGAATTCAAACAACTGAGAATATTTGAAAAATAAACTAATTTGCTATCGTTGAATTTGTAGTATCTTCTGTAGGTATTAGGTACTCAAAAGATCTAAGCTTGTTTTTTTTTACCAAAAGTTAAAAGCGACATTTGTATTGCTCGAATCGATGTAGTTTATAAATAATATCACGCAATGGAAAAATTAAACGTAGCTTACCCAGTAATGAGATAGAATGTTGACTTTGTATGTAGTTTCAATGGCCTTATCGTTCAGCTCCAAAAGAGTTTCTCCAAAGACCACCCCAGCATTATTGATTAGAACGTCCACCTTACCGATCTGAGAAATATAAATGTTAAAAGAATTTTAACTAATACATTTCGCGTTTTAAACCGTTAAAGATTTAAATGGGTACTAATCGTGTAAACTTAGGACATAATATTTAAGGATGCTATATTTCAAGTACTTATTTTTTTTGTAAATCTTTATAGAATTCAGTAGGGTATGATATTGTCTTTCCTAACTACGGCTATTTAAAATATTATCTTACCTCTTTCTTAACCCTTTCAGCAGTCTTATATACAGCATCACGGTCAGCTAAATCAACAGCATAGCTCGCCACTTCATATCCTTCATCTCTTAATGCGCTACACGTATTTCTCAAAGCTGTAAATAAAAAAAAATCGTTATGCAAAGCCTTTTTGATGCCAGCGACGTAGAAAGCAAAATATATAATTATCTCTTTATACGTAAGTATCGTGGTTATATCTACTAAAACATTTTCCTTTATTACTTTTCAGGTTATAAACAAGTAGGACGCTACTACTAACACTCTGTTGTGCAAACGAATTGCTATTCAAAGTGTCCTGCATGTCTAATGAATATTTACCAGCATCTAGTCTCATGCTATATACCTCTTATAATTACCTAATATTGTTTTTACTATGCAGATAACAGTACTTGACGTGGATTTTTTTGTTTCTAAGATTTAAGGTAACAATTTCTTTAATATTATAAACAAAAATCTCTATAACGTTATCTATTTTTTTTAACAAAGAGAGATGCGAAGTTACGAGCTCATTTCAAAGTTTATAAATTAACTATTAACTGTGTTACTTGCGACCAAATGTATTTTTATATTAAAAGAGCAACGTAATAAAAGGAGCGTTACTACACACACCATCACATCAGTTTTAAAATTTGCTTGCTGTTTGTGTTGAACTTTTAGAAAACAAAAATGACTGAGAAATGTTTAGCTTGTGTCTATAGAAAGAAATGAACCCGAAAGCGTTATTTTCTCGAGTGGATTATTATTTAGTGTAAAATAGAGTAAATAAGGAAAATTAGAAAAGAATCTGCTTCTCAAAAACTTACCATCTTCATTAATGTCCCAAACTACGACTTTTGCCCCAATCCGAGCAAGTTTGACAGCCAGCTGTCTACCAACGCCACCGCCTCCTCCGGTGACCAGTACCACGTCGCCTTTCAAACTCTTCATAGGCCTCAAAGCATTAGGAACTAGTGTCCAAAATAAGGACTCTAATATGTAATAACATGACAGCAAGAGGAAAAGTACTGTGTCCTTGGCTATATCAAATATACTTGACACTTGCGAGGGTGTTTTAATTTTCGTACCTTCCAACATTTTTGATCCTGGAAAAATAGATTATTGATTGATTTCAGATATAAATTTAAAATCGATTATAAATTAAAAAAAGATACGACCCACTTAGGCCGCCTCCACAGCCTTCTGTGCTGTTACTCTAACCAATTGAGCTATGGAGTCGATTTTTTTCAACCTATTGATACATGCACCTCTCGCGCAATGTCGTTATAACGTGGTGCATTTTCTATACTTTATATAGATCCAGGATGTGGAATAACATCTGAATATGAATAAAGTTTTCAGATTGAGATTTCATTTAAATAAAACACTTTAACTGTAAAGCGCGATATAAAGTTAAACTTATTTGCAAATGGTTTTCAACTTGGCCCGACTTTCTACTTTACAGAAGTTCAATGCTATGTCCAATAAATACCATTACCGGCAAACGCGGCCCGGTGGAATTCTTAAACCCGGCCAGTTTCGCCAAAACCAGCTTCACGACAGTGGCGCTAGCGTAACAATTTTTTATTGACTCAGAGTCATCCACCAGTCTCCCGTGACCACGACTGCTGCAAAGCCATCCAAAACGTCGGGCAAAATATTAAAAATCATTTTCAAATAAGTTTAACTAATATAATCGCGTTTTAAGCGCTGTTAAAGTGTTCTATTTAAATGTGTACTACTATCATAAACTTGTAGTTTTTATTTCATGTTTTTATGATAGATGACAAATCTTTCATAGGCAAAATATTTTGTTTAACAAATTTAAACCGGTAAAAGAAACCGTGTTGTTATGCTCTAATATACCGGCTTTAGTTAGTTATGTCTCAGCGTCCTACTATTTCTATATCTTAATAAATCTCTTTGAATAGACTTTATCGCTGTTGGTCATCTATGCTTTAGGCCTATCAACAGCATTAATTGTTTATTTATATTCTCTTATAACTTATAATATTTGGAACAATACCTTCGAAATTAATCGTTGAACATTTTGATCACATACCTAGGTTTGTATCAAATAAATCCAGTTAAGTAAGGTCAGTTACCTTCACTAACATCTAAGACTATTTTGTCTCTACCTAATTGAGGGACATTCTTTGGCCTGCAGTTATTTTCCACTATAGCAAACGAGGTGTCTTATATCTAAGCTAAGTAGAGCTCGCTTATAAATAAAAAGTTTATGTTACAACCGATTTGAAATAACACTTATTGAAATTTAAAACCTTACTTAGACATTATATTTCGCTTACAAACAAATTGTTTTGAATTCTACAAACGAATGTTCTAAATGTTTTGAGTTGAATTTGATGTAGGAAATGAGTCATCAATAGAGATTCAAATACTGTCTATACTCTATAATTTACGCGAGCAGTACACATTGAAATAAAACACATTAACGGTTTAAAACGCGATATATTAGTTAAACTTATTTGAAAATGATTTTAACTGGCAACATATCGGATGCTTTGCAGCAGCCGTTCCCTGTGAACGTCTGTTAATTAAAATAGAGATTTAATTAATTATTAGTCTTTAATACTGCACATACTACGTACTTGGTGTTGTAAACAAAATTGAGGTTGCCACTTTTTCTAAATTTAGTTTTTCTATAATTTGCACAATTAAGTCGCATAAAACTTGTTTCATTTTTTCACGTGTACCTAATGTTTAAAAAAATTCGACAATGCATTCCCAGAAAAAACAAATTAATGAAATTTTGCAGAAATTTAAGAAATACAAATTTTAACGGTTTAAAACCCGAAATATATTAGTTAAACTTATTTTCACTACGGCCCTGCGTTAAAATTTGCGTTTCAAACCGTTTAAGTATTTATTTAAATGTGTACTATTTGCGTAAGCTAAAGACAGTACATAGTAATTCATATTTTATTTAAATTAACATTTTACTAAAGCAAATAGAATACAGTATATTTCTTATAAAAGTATACGTACCTATTTCTGTATCCTCTTTTAAGCACTTTTCACATGTATCATAAGTTTCAACGCAGGTTTTGAACTGGTGCGTGCGCGCGCGCCGGTTGGCCTACAACTGCGGTCTACTCTCGTGCTTTCTCCTACGGTAACGGTATTCTGACTTCCATCTAATATTTTGAATACATCACGACAATTAACAGCTAGTGATGCTAATATAAAGTAATAGATTTAATCTGTAGACGTCGATTAGTGTAGAAAAAAGTAAAGAAAGAAAAAAAGAAATGCGCACATTGTACATTTCTCTGTCCAATTTATCGATTTTATTTCAAATAATTACTTGATCAGAATTAATCGTTCTCTCGGATTTCGAATCTAGGACATCCTATGCATATGCAAGGCAACCATCGCGATTAACCACTAAACAATGAAGTATTAAATATGTATTTTATTATAACAAACCTTCTGTTGCACCGAGATAAGTAAAACATATTGTATGTTGATAACTATGTTATCATGGGTATTCGGTTATTTTTCCAATTATTAAGTGAAACTACGATTACTGTTTTTTATTTAATTACTAGCTCTTTCAGCGACTTTGTACGCGGTTCATTTTTTATTTTTGGGTATTTTGAACAGTTTTGGCAGAACACGCAACCGAAATTCGCCAAGATTAAAATTTTCCGTGTTTATCCCACATTACCCACTGTCTCTTTGCTCCCATTGGTTACACCATGATGTTTCATAGCCTAAAGCCGTCCTGAGAAATTACAGTTTATTTTAGCACGGAGGAGAACATCCCTTCTGTTCTAAAAAAATATATTTTGATTAAAAAAACATTATGACTATGGCGGGACTTGAACCGGCATCGTCACCGTTCCGTGCTTTTGCTCTACCAATTGAGCTACCGAATCCGAATGCTAGGATTCGGTACGGAACGGTGCCGGTTGAAGTCCTTCCCGAGTCGATTATTTTTTTCAATTTTTTCGATTTTTTAAATTATATAGTGCCTTCACGTGCATGTAAAAAAATAATAAAGTTTTCAAATATTAGATTTTTTTCAAGTTGTTATAAATTATAGAACGCCTACTACTGCTTGATTATTTTCAAAATTGTCGATCAGAAACATTGCTAAGTAAAGAACATGTTTATGTCTCGTGAACTAACAATTTAGTATTCAGATGTATTAGAATTACTCATATTATTATCTACGGTACTTTTTTGTAAAGGTCTACAAAGTACACATATAGTAAAGTCTACATTATATCATGATGCTGACAAACTCTGATAATATAATATGGCAAGGAAAATATAACAGGACGAAAAAACTCATAGTAAATGATTAAATATATTTATTTATTTATTTAATTCTTCATTGCAACAAATACAAAATTTTTTTTTTTTTTTCCTTAAAAGTATTCTTAATACGTAAATTATTCTAACCAGTTATATAGTGCAATGGGCGGCCTTATCGCTATAGAGGGATCTCCTCCCGGCAACCCTTGGGGAAAAAAAAAAAAATTTTTTTCTGGGGGGGGGGGGGGGGGGGGGGGGCAAAAAAAACCCCAAAAAAAAATTTTTTAACCCCCCAAAAAAAAAAAAAAAAAAAAAAAAAACCCCCAGGTGGGGGGGGGGGGGGGGGGAAAAAAAAATTTTTGGGGGGGGGGGGGGAAAAAAAAAAAAAAAAAGTATATACTTATCTTGTTGCAAAAGTTCACTTTTAGTCTTAGAGCAGTTATTTCCATCCGACTCTATGCTGATTTGAACTTGACCAGGGTATACATGCTTTTGTCTTCTAACGCGTACTTATGTGCTTAAGGCGTACTATACAGTTGTATAATTCTTCCGTTATTAAAGTTGTCGCAATCTAGTGGGCAAGAGCAATTTGAAAGCACTGTAATTTAGTGAACTTACATTAGTGCCACCGGTCATTTGAAATGCACAATGTTAACATATTGTTTCGTATAGCTATATATAATTAGGTAGCTTAGTGACTGTACGTAATAGTTATAACGGAACATATTTTCTACTTTAATTTTATTCGAATTAAGCATTGCTGTTTTGTTGTGTTGAAAGTTGTTCGTGATTTTAACATTCTTCATTTTGAACCGTTTTTGCAGCGTACGCCTCGGAAACCAATAATGATGAATAAATTTCCCAATTTTTTCAAATTTCTCGCTGCATCTTCGCTTGTATTACACACACAGACAGGCGATGTTTATACCTCGATAAATGCTCTAACCAAATCAAAAATATTTTTTCAATTCGAACCCATACTTCCTGAGATTAGCGCGTTCAATCAAACAAACAAACTCTTCAGCTTTATATTTTAGTATAGATAGATAATAATTTAAAGGTGCAACGTGTACTAGCGCCATCTCGTCTTTAATTAACGAGGCATATAAGTTCTTAACCTAGAACATGCGTAGAACGAAAGAAAAAGGTAAGAACCAATACGTACTAATATTGCACGAATGCTTTTCGATTATCATACACCACCAACAGATGGCGCTAAAATCGATTAGGCTTATTCATAAGTCAGTGAACTCTAGTGTTGTATTTTATGGTTTTATTATACAGATGTTATCTACGTTTAGGCAAATTGGTGTATGGAAATTAAATAGGGGTGCTACATAATCACAGATTATAAATAAAACTTTGTTACCACGTAATCAATAGTAAAATACCGTTTTATTATTTGTACTTACTTTCAAGTGTTTTACTATTTTCAATATATTTGTAACCGGCAGGGGTACAATAATTAGAAATTAACTGAGTTGGAGAAGCACATTCAAATCTCGAGAGAATATAGAAAGAGTTTTGCGAGAATGAAAAAAACCTAAAAATATCGTTCTCAGGAATGTTTCTGTCTCACGTGCCTTAGAGAAAACAAATTTTGGGTGGGACTTTGTATCTTAGTTTTAACGTCATTCGTTAACAGTAACAATTAGTTAATAGAATGCTCAAAAATGGTTAAAGAAAAAAACGGGTACTATAATTTATGTCCCATAAAACTGTTTACTTAATTAGTTGGAACTGAAGTTTATTCGCCAATTGTAGCAACGTAGCCGCGGAAGCTACGAAATAGGGCTCGTAGCTAGTTTATAACC